CGGGGTGCGACCAGAGTCACGGAACAAATTAAGTTCGTAAACCGAGGTTCCACTGTATTTAGTAATGCCATGTGCCTAAAGATATATTCTTCCATCAGTCAGGTTCCAAAGCATTATCTGCCTTCAGTCTACACTATTTCTCCATCTTCCTTTATGACTACCCTATGACAGACATTTTACTCTTGAACTGTGATCAGGCTCCAAATATAGAGAAATAATTATTTTGATAAAGAACAAAATAGAAAATTTGGTTTATGCCAAGAGTTGTTGCTATTGATACTGTTGTCAAATAGCCTGGCATTTCAGGCTAAAGACAACTCCATTAATGTTAGTAAAGCTGATTCAAACAAACTCTAAATTAAAAATAAAGTATAAGAGCTGACTTTGAAATCATCCTCCTCCTCATCTTCTTCTTTTTCATCATCATCATCATCCCAGGAATTAAGTATGAGCCAACATGAGCCAAATTTTGAATTTCTAGGTAATTATTTTTAGCCAACTAGATGTATCACTTAAAAGATCTCAGGATATGCACATATAGTAATCAATTATTAGAACAAAGGCAAATGGGTTAGATGACAAACAAACAAACTGAAAATTGTGATATTAGAGTCATCATTCAGTAGTATCACCAAAATAATACTTTTGCTAAACTGGGTCATTTTGGACTGGCTATGGAGGGCTGCAGGTTAAACTTTCATTTATTCCAAGCATTTATATCCCACTTCCCCATCTGGTAAAAATAGCAGTGTGATGCAATTTAAGATGTTGGACTAGGCCCTGGGAGAGCTGCGCTCAAGTACGCTTTTCACCAAGGAACACAGTGGATAGCTTCGACCAGTCAGGCTTTCTCAGCCCAACCTCTCTCAGCAGGCTGTTGTTGTGGAAATAAAATTATGATTGTGGTTGGTCACACAGTCAGCCAGATGTTTAAACTGGATTTGGCATTTTTATCCACTTATTAAGTCCTTCCCAAGGAACGGGGATAGGCAGATGGTGTTGTCTGATGGTGTTAAAGGTATCATCGCAGGATGTAAGCTGTTCCAAGTAAAGCTGCCTTTTGCAATTCACTGGAGGTGATTTTGTTAATGCCGACAATGTTGTTCAAGTAGTGCTCCAGATGTTTTGGGATTGCACCCAAGGTGCCTATTATATTGGTACTAC